TTCCAAAGATACATTTTTTAAGTACTCCTTTTTTTTCATACTACACACACAGACATAAAAACGCAAGAAAAGCCATCACACACCATGAATAACATCATATGTCCAACACAACACAACATCTTTACTTCTTGCTGTCAATTCCTTTATAAAAAGAAAGACTCTGTGACAGTTCTGTTTGGATACCCTTGATGCTGCTGCTGATGCTACCCGTGTTGAGCCAGCTAAGTTATTTTACCTGTTGTCACGTAAAGTGAAGGACCGGGCATGAGGCTGTAGGGGAGAAGGAGGAGGCCGCAGTGGGGCACACTGCCATGTTGTTCAGAGGCCCCAGCACCAGGAACACCTTAAGGGTGCACCTTAACACACACAGTGTCACCTACCCACATCATGAGTTTTGTCTGTCAACAGCTTGGGGTGCAGGGCCCTGGACGACAGACTCCCCCAGCGAGACACACACAGGTGGCAGGCAGGCTTCGCAGCCTGGCAGGGCCCAGCACTCACTCAGGCCTGCTCTAGGACACACACAGCTGGAAGGCTTTGTGGCCTCGGCAAGAGCTACCACCCCTGCAGTTTTCAGCCCCCTGTGGTGTAACACACAGCCGTGACATGAGTTTGACTTTCAAGAATTTGGGGTACAGTTCCACCCAAACCTCTGCACCAATCTTCTTCAAACTTGGCAGGCTTCATGCTCTTAGCAGAGGCTACCATCCCTGTAAGTTTCATCCAAATCATACAAAAAACAACAAAATTATAGATCTTCCATTGATTCCCCATTATACCCTATGGCCGGATCTCCGAGGGCTTCAGAGCCGCTTCGGCCAGACCAAGCCGGAAACCCAGTCCGGAGCTCCAGATTGGATAGCGGCCATCCGAAGTGGCCAGATCCGAAGCTGGATCAGATCGCTGCTGACTCGCACAGCCCTATTCATTAGGACAAACAGAAATGAAAGTTGGCTTCAATAGGTCTGTTTGTGAAACAAGTTTATTTATTTCAATATCTAAATAGAGATTTCAAGACCTATTGTTAGGCCACTGTTTTGAATATCCTAACAGAAAAAAACAGGGTCTTAGTAGTAGTTATCAAAGTGCATTCTAATTTGGATTGCTACAAATGTATTTGTCTGCATTCATCTGCTGGCTCAGGTTAGTAATATACACATAATTAGTTGATTGCAAGCTGTTCACCTCAACTGTTTGTTATTTAATACTTATGAGGTGTGCCTGTTGTCTGTCACATATTCTTGAGTTTGTTCCAGGAGTGCAGCCCCAAACCTTTTTAAAATAGAATGATCTACTTTTGCTTACACCTAAATAATCATTCCTGTTCAAATTTGTGAAACTTTCAGTTTTCATATCAGCCAGACATGAAATACTAATACTACTGATCTAACAAATCTTAGGGAGCTGAACTTAATACATTTGCCCCTCAACACAATTATTCAGGATACACTAAGATAAAAGGAGATGTATTCATTTCTTGATACATGTGTTTAACTTCCATAATGTTATACAGGGACAGCTCAAAGAACGTCCGTATCATACAGAGCAATTCTCAGTGCCACTGAAATTTAATTGAAGTGAAGCCGCTAAAGTGATATACTGTTTCTTCTGGAATTCCCATAATTTACAAAAATGAAACTCCTCTTCATAGGTTAAAAAAAACCCAGCAATAAAAAATTCCCCAAGTGTTTAACAAGTTTCTACTATTCATCATGTGGTTCCTTATTTGCAACATGGTCAATGTGGCTGAATATGCAAGACATCCTTGCATTTTTTTCTAATATGAACCTAAGAGAAATGATTGTAAGAACTCGAAATTAAAAAAAATCAGTAAAAACCAGCAGTAAACTGCTAGATCTTTCTGTATGTGGCAAAGGCTCTGCCCCCATATAATGACTGTTTAATAATTTCCACTGTTTGGGGCACAAGGCCCCATAGCTATATTATTTATAACAGCAAGAAAGAGCAGCCTTTCTATACCTGAGCCCTATGAAGCTAATCAATCTAAAGCCAAAAGAACTAGCATGGCTCAGCTGTAAGAGCCTGAAATGCCAGTAATTGCTATTCCTGAAGCAGGAAATACATAATTAAATAAAATCTAGCAACACTGGAAAAAAAACTTGGCACCCGAGGTATTTTTGAGGGAAAGAATCCAAAAATCAGACATTTATAGCCATAAAGATAGCACCAGCAGGTATATTAAGAGTGAAAACATTACAAACATTATATGTCAAACATCTTGTTTAAGGGTAGATACTGACTGCTGACTAGCATGAGGGGAAAATAAAATCCCTAAGAGAAAACACCAAAGCACTAAAAGTTCAGATTAATTATAGTTGGAGAGTATTTCCTATGAAACACTCAGTATTATAAAGAGGGCATTTGAATTTGAAACCCACATACCCACCAGCACCCTCAAAGGCACTGTAGAAGTTTGGATACAGACTTTGCAGTAGGTGCCTGCTGCTAAAATGGGCCAAATAGAAATGGATTCAGACTCATCTGAATATTGAAGAAGTCCAAATTCAGTTCTGAAATTTTTGGCTTTGGTTCATTCTAGCCAGTTCTAGCACTGAAATTCTCACATCCCTATGGGAATATCTGCAAGTAGATACTCATAAAATCATAATTCAGAGCACATTAAATGTGTAGATCAGGGGTAGGCAAAATCCAGCCTGCCCATGGGTGGCTGCCTGCCAACAGATTGTGTCCGGCTATGGCTGCCCCTGCAGCATTCCACATGGGGCTGAGCCACACCTGCTCCTGCCAGAGACAGCCTACACCATGTTCCTGCCTGCACCTGCTGATGACCTTGGCCCCAACCAACATGTACAACTTCCTCGAGGCCGGATAAGCAGTGCCAGGTGGGCAGACTGGGTAGAAGGTGGTAGGGAGCTGAAACTGGAAACCCCAGGTGCTGGGACAGGAGCTGCCTGGCTGCAGCTTCCCCTCCACCTGGCTGGGCATGTGGTGCCTAGCACACATCTCCATAACTGCTGTCGGCGCTTCCCTGGATTACCTGCTTCCTGGAGTGGCACAGCAGGGGCAGGAGAAGGAGTCACTGAAGGAGATGCCACTAGAGGCAGGGGAAGCTGAGCAGTACCTGAGCAGCTGCAGCCACACCAGGAGCAGCCCCGCTAGGAAGCTGCACGTGCTAGCTGGGGCTGTCAGAAGGCATGGGTGGGAACATGGCATAGGCTGCCCCAGGCAGAAGCAAGCAGGGCTCAGCCCCATGTGGAGCACTGCGGGGGCAGCCATGAGCCAGATTTGGGGGGGGAAGTTTGTTAAAAGGTTATCTTCTGAAAGATTGTTTGTGTGGCCCTTGAGAGATCACCAAAACTTGTTAAGTAGCCTGGCAGCCGAAATAATTGCCCACTCCAGCTTAAATCCTTGAAAAGACTCTGGAATTTTATAGTATGGTATTTTGTACACAAGTCATATGAGAAAAATGCAAGGGATTATCTTACCAAAGTTTAGTCTCATCAAAGGAGAAAGAATTGATCCCCAATTCACAGGTGGATACTGGTAACTTTTTCCAACTAAAGCAATGGGTGCCAGGGCTACCTTCACCAAGGTAGGGGGAATGGATTCAGGGCCTGCAATAGAACAATCAACCTGAATTATATAATAATAAATTGGGCAAATCATAATAAACTAGGCAAAACAGCTAAACAAAAAAAGAAAGTGTACAGACCCTGGAGTTTACAGCATTATCCTGGAAAGAAAACCAATAAACGTGGGTTTATTGATAACACAACAGCCATCTGTACCACATCACTGGCTAAATATGCTGGAAGCCACTTAAAATGCAACTGTGGATTGCAAAGCAATTAATGCGCTCAGGGTGTGGTGTTATACCACAGCTGAAGGGGAGCCATTATAAAACTGAAGCCTTAAAATTAAAAAAAATATACTTCTACTGCCCCTTCTAAGCCTGGGCCTCAAAGCATGTCATAGGTTAATTAATTGGGCCTTACAAACACGTGAGTGTTGCAATCTTTTCTAGTTTATAGACAGGGAAACAGAGGCAAAGAGACTGGATAGTACATTCAGACTCAGAGGGAACCAGCACTGAAACTAAAATTAAAGCTTCCCTACAAACCAAGCTCTCATTTAACCCCCATTCTTTGTCCTTTTGGCAAGAAAGTAGGATTTTTTTAGATTCAAAATAGCTAATTCAGTGTAAAATCCTAATGAAAACAAGGTGTGGAGAGTTGTTAATTCAATGTAACCAACTGAGGTGCACCCAGGTTAATGTTACAGGGTTGGCCAACTATATCAAAACCACCCAGCGCCCCATCTCCACTGAGATTTTACAAGATAGCTCCCTTAATTTAAACATCTTGATGTGGACAGTTTCTTCAGTTGGAAGTTTATATATCACATGCATCAGAATGCCACTTAAGGATCCAAATGAAGGCAAAGATCAAATCACAGAAACAAGAATTGGGAGAAACAACGCTAATGCCATTGCTGAATTATTCCTTAGAGTGTATTGTCCAAGCTAGTTATGAATGTTTCAAATGATGTGGCTTTCATTTCTGCTCTTGGGACAGTATATCAAGCCTAACAGATGTTCAAGAAACAGTGAATGTAAAAAAATTCAACAGAAAAATCAAGTTATAATGCTTTCTTATGTAAGTATTCTGTAGTGTTGGCAATGTAAAAATATTTCCCACATATTTAATGTTTTTATTGAAATATACTTAACTGAAATTGAGTTTTTTTAGGATCGATCCGTGATTATTTTTCTTAGCATTTCTAACAAGCAAAAAACATTTAAGTGAAAGTCAATTTAGAGCAGCAGCATTTTTCCCATAATTAGGGAATTTTCTTCTTTCTTACCTTTCTTGCCTCCTTCAATGACATAATCAATAGCTGCCCTAATAAAGCTGTTTTCAGGCAAGTAGCTGAAGTCTGGAGGAACTGGAAAGAGAAAAGACTTTGAAATATGTCAACAATGTGGCAGGAAAAGTAAGAGATTCCTGGTTCCAACTAAATTCAAAAGGCAAGCATGAGATATTTACAAATTAATCACTGGTCAACATTCTATTACAGTGATTATTTCTATTAGACCAAAGGATTAATGCAAATATAATCACTTCTTCCTCTTGCCCTTTTCTTTCCAAGTACATGTAAGGTTAGTGAAAGTTGCCATACTGCAGCACTGAAAAATTAGTTTGTTCATAAACTGAGAACCTATGATGATGGAAACTTCTTCCCTCCAACCCCCTCCATAACACACATGCACAGGCCTAATGTGCCTCAACCCCAACCTGGAAGTAATAACACAGTCACACTTCATACCTACTCATTCTCTGGTGCCTGCCAGCATGGTCAATGAGATATTTTTGTGGTTTAAGCATGTGTCATCTCGATAGTACCAACTCACTGACAGCATGGGTCATTAGCTCCCTTTAATGAACACATATTTCATCAATCATTTTATCTGGTAGATATCATGCAGTGATAATCCATCATCATTAGCAGAATGAAATTCACCTATTTGCTAAGGGGAGATTGAGAGTCTGTGGCCCACTTAACATCTATTTTGCAGGCTCATATAGCATGTAAAGTGGTATATAGTCCTAAAGCTTCCCCTCTTACTGGGGGTAAATTCCATCCTCAGTAAATAGTAGTGCTGCACTTCCTTCGGAGGCTGACTGTGTGCTTCAGCTAATCACAGAACAGCTCTTTACAAACTTACAGTTCTTAAAAAATTACTCTTGTTTTCCTTTTTGCAGTGGCTGGTTTCCAAATGGTTGACATATTTAAGAGCAGAAACTCATGAAATATGAAGTTGGCCAAACCAGATAGCTGATTAACTCTCATCACAGAATACACATTTTACTTACAAAAACAGAGGGAAAGGTCTTTCTGCACTATTTTAAACCAAAACTGTGAATTATTCTATAAGTTTCAAGCATACACACTCGCTTTTTTTAGATATTATTTTAACACACAGATTTGATAGGAACATATTTTATGGAGAGTTTCACCAAACAGAAGCATGTGGGTGGACTTTGCACTGAGCAGCACTGACTCCAACGGGGCTCTGCTGGAGCATAAACGTCAACTGTATTTGAGCTTGTTGTTGTGGTGCAGTGAAGTGTGAGCTCTCTTGTGTCACAAAGGCTGTCCTTTCACTTTTTGTGGGTTCCAAACCTAGCATAAGGAGGCCACTGATTAAGGCCTTTTGATGCTACCACAGGGCATTCTTAACAACAAAAACCTCTTACCAGATGCCCTGCTCTGGTCTGAGAACAAACTGGATAGATGAAGGTGCCCTAAAAGCCAGGCTGCATTTGTCTGCAGGGCAATCTGTCCAGAAAAACTGACAATCTGTGGAGACAATCATAGGACATGGATTAATATTTCTAGCCTCAATTAATGCTGATTACCTCATCCAATACTTCAAAAGCAAACTAACACAAAATGCAAGTTATGCTTTTTAAAAAAAAAATCAATTTGGCCCTTTACACAAGGTATCATAGCACTAGGTTTACCAAAGCAGAATCAGAAACAGACATGACACACCACCCACTCACCTGAATCAAGGTTCTGATGACTTCATTAAGTTTATTTTGAAACTGGGAAGACTGAATAGTGTCCAATTTCAACTGTCAAGGAAAAGGAAAATGAGACAATGACATATATAACTAGTGGAGGAGGAATAAGGTTACTTCTCGTTGCCACCAGCTCTAAGAATGCTTGAAAGCAACGAGAGCCAAATTCTGTTTTGACAGACCTTCTCAGAGATTAAAGTGTTGTACAATTAATCCAACATTGCAGAACACTGAATGTGGAGATATTAAATGAATGCTAGTTATTTAATTATGTATCGACTTACCCATCAAAAACATACAAAAAAATTCTCAGAGATATGATCTCATATATTTTTCAGGTCATACCTTGACACTTTGTTTCTAAAAGAAACTAAAGGTTTTATGTGCTTGTTTCTTTTACCTGTATCATGGCTCCTTCAGAACCCACCAATGCAACCAACCCATTCACAGCAGCCAGGCGCAGCATTGTGGGAGACCCCTGAAAACACAAATCAAAATGAATGCAACCCAAAGGGCTGTAATATGGTGGACAAAGCACAGAATCAATTTCTTCTCAAAAAGAGGGCACTGTTAACTCTAAAGATTATACCTATTCCTTCCCTACCAACAGACTTCTGGGCCAGGCTTCTGGATGAGGAACCGAATTACATTGCTACCCCTGCAATGAACTGCAAAATGAACTGCATTATATAGGACCTCCTTCTTCTCTCTCACTCAAACAAGCAGGCATTTCCTATTGATGCAGCACCTTTCTATAATGTATTCTAATCTAATACCTTTAACATGAAGTATGCCTGGAAACATGCTGGGATGACCTAGTCTTCAAACATGCTGTTAAAACTGTGTTGCTGTTAATATTTACCTTATAGTCCTATCTTGAAGAATTCATTTAGGGGTTGCTTTTAAAATTAATTTTATATGTAATTTTTGGTACAAGAGGCTAAATTATTAGTACAGAATTGCAAGTATAACAAATGAATACATTTCACTCAGTTCTCTATTCTGTTACCGTGACAGTGATTAATGTTACCTTCAGTAAGCCTAGAATTGTTCAGCTCCTCTACTACTATAAATGCAGCCAAAACATCTCAGTGTAGCTGCTGTATTCACTGGCCATAGCAATGGCAATTACTGGCTCATAAAAGCAGAGCTACAACCATTTATTATTTAATAAAAAAGCCATTCAAGAGGGTAAATTTACAGTAAAATGGCAAAGCACAAGGATCCCAGGATTCTACTAGTCTAACTTTTGTTATGGAGTTCCTCACTCCAGTAAGGAAACTGATGTCAGTCTGAGCACTTGCAGCTTTGGTTGCTACTCAGGATGAATAAAGGTAACAGAATGGAGCTCTCAGACCAAAAGCAATAATTGTTTTTTTGTAAATCAAGAAAGCCCAGTTTTTTCTTAAAGCAAACTAGAGAGATTACTGTTTCTAAAAGCAAATCAAATCACCTGCTCCAACAGTGAAACTATTCCTGATCTCCATTTCTTCCCCTTTAATGAAATAAGCTCCTTAGCAATTTCTTTATAAAAGGATAGAGACAGTCTCCTCTACCTCTGCAAGTACAATCTTTATCCAAGCAGGTAACAGTCTGTTGCTCAGGTCTTCTGCTTTCCCATGTCCAAAGACTGACAAACCATGAACTATGGTACCCAGTGCCAAGGCAAAACCAGACGTCTATAAAAAAAAAAACAACAAGGAAAAGACAGTAAAAACAACTGCCACAAAGGCAGGGTGGTGTGTGTGTGTGAATACACTCCCCCCACACACACGCACACATTTTTTCCCCAAAATAACAGCTCACATCTTCCATGAGCAGTACTTCACACTGACATATTCTATATACCATAATTTCTGTTGTCAACCAAAATGCTGTTGCTTTTAAAACAAATAGTTGGCTTAAACCAGAAGTGCTTAACTCCTACCCCATAGGCCAGATCTGGCCCATCAGGACATCATTCAGCCTGCAGGGCTTCACCACGGTCTAGAAATTTGGCAGCAGGGCGGCAGAGGTGGTGGTAATTGCTGCTCCCCTACTGTCAAATTTCTGGACCTATGGTGAATCACACAGGCCATATAACATGGTCCTGTACACCAGATCTGGCCAGCACATGGCTGGATCTAGGCACATGAGACGGGGCTGGTGCATGGCTGGATCTGGGATCACAAGATGGGGCTGGTCTGCAGTTAGATCCAGGTCCATGGGATAGGGCCACCATGTGGCAGAATCTGGATGCACAGGATTGGGTTTACATCCTGGATTGCAGCCATGGAATGACCCCATGAAGGATTTGGCCTGTGGGCTGACCCTGTGTCACTCATTTGGCCAACAAGGCTATACGGTTGAGTGCCACAAGTACAAATCTAGTGCAATTGATGCAGCCAGTTACAAAATACTGGCTCCTACGTATGGCAGTATACTGATTAAGCATGTATGTTTGCGCATATATGTGTATACAAAGGAATGATGTCACCCTCTAATGACTAGAGAGCAAAAAAGGCTCCAGGGACTGCTACTAATACCTGTCAGAACTTGTGAGGTCAAGTAAGACTCTTTTCAAAGGTAATGAACAAGGGTTCTAGTTCTGAGAAAGATTTAGGTCAAGAGTGAAATTACAGCCCAATGTTGCAAATATATAAACAAATGCTAAACTTTAAGAATATACACAATCCTACTGAAATCAGTGGATTTTGGATGTAATTGAAGTTAAGCATTTGGAAATAATCAGGAGTCTTCTGAAACTAGAGAAGAGGAAGATGCCACTGGATGGAGACAATCTAACAGTTGAAATACCTGGACACTTCCCATGACAAGAATTGAGTCTTAACAAAAATTTCTACACTAGAGTAATTTTTGTGTTTTAGAGTAGGGTGTTCCCCAAGTCTTCACAGGGTGGATGACATTTTATCCTATGACTGTCTCAGGGATCAAGTTCTCACCCATTCATGTTTTCATGGAACACCAACATCCTCATTCACCATTATGCAGCACTCTCATAACAACCACAGTCATTTTTCATATAAGACAGTAATATTTGGAAAGTACATCATACAAATTAGCTTCTTTACCCTGAGTTAGCAGTTGGAAAGAAGGAAAAACCAGCATCATGGAACCAGCCAGCTGTCTGAACATGCTCAATGGGTACCCAATAACCAAAGGCTACAGTATGGAAGCCTCTGTATTAGAGAATGGTTTTCTAACATGAAGGAAAATGGTTAGAAAAGAGATCCCTAATTTTACGTCCCCAATAAAATAAAAGGCTGCTGATTATTGTGATTATTGCAAAGATCAGTTTTGATTCTAACAGGTTGTATAACACCACATTGTCAATCAGTGGATAGTGGACAGACAGGAGCAACACAAACTGGGTTACTGATACTCAGGGAGTCAAATTGTGACTGATGAGCAAACAAGGGATTCTGAGGTAATGGGAAGATGCTGAGCTGTCATCTGTTAGTGGGAAAATTCAGTAGTACCAAGTGGGTAAAAGGCTACCTACAGAAATCTGAGTTTGAGACATTAATCTGAATTGGTTAGGATTGTGACTATGATCTGCTGTTTAATATCTACAGGAAGATTAAAATTTAGTTGTCCATAAGTCTAAGAGAAAGGCAGAGAAAGGATATTTGCCTAGGAAGAAAAAACCTTGGGAATGCAACTGGAAAAGTATAAGTTTTTCTTTTAGACATGTTTATATATATAAATTCAGTTTTTATTTCATATTTTAGTGATAGAGTATGAGCTGCTGCTATAAGAAATACATGAATAAAACAAATGGCCTTGAAGGTACCATCTTCAAATTACACTGTTTCAACAGATACCTGAGAGGTCCTAAGAGACTTCCATCTAATACTGGCATAGATGGAAGAGGATGTAATGTATATGGTACAAAAGAAAGGACATTTAAAAAGCATAATAGAAAGTAAGGAATCCATGTTGTGGATACAACCTGCTGATTATTTTCTGTTAAAGTCCGCAACTTGTTCATAACCTTGTCAGCTTCCTCTGCTTCTATGATTCTAACACTGAAAGCAGAGATGCAGGAACAGGCAATGGAATAGGCAAGGATCTAATAAAAGGAGATACAGTTAAAAAAAATACAAGTCAGAAAACTTAACATTTCCCCAGGTAGGATCAGGGTTTCAGTTATTTACTACTGTAGATTCCACATGGTGTTACTCGTAACCTTGGTGTTACTACTGGGAACACCAAGGTTCCTAGCTATTCCATCCTGGATAATCAATAACTCCCCCCTCAAATTCAACCATATCTAGTTTGAGAAAAAAGAGAAATAAAATGTGGAGACTGCCATGAAGATGCACTGTATTATTAGATGCACTGTAAAACCATGAAACCTAAATGAGTTTCCACATGGTTTCCAATGCTGTTGTATGCTTTGTATTAAGTGTAGAACACCACCCAAAACAGAACAGCTGGCCACTAACAAGAAGTATTACAATTAGGCCACTGACAGACAGGGAAAAGGTGTTGGGATCTGATGTGCAATCCCAACAACTGTGCTTCCTGCTATGCCACACATGCATGGTTAGAGGCATGACTGTGGAACTGAGCATCAGACCCCATCATGCCATACTGTCAGTGCAAAGGGAACCTAGGATCATGATCCCAGATCACCTCTGCACTGGCAATCTTGGCTTCTGCGGCTGGGAGCCCCATCAGTTGACTGGAGCTCTCAGCCATGGGGGGCACATCATGATATATCCTAAATTTCATGATTCTAGCAAATAAAGTTTACAGAAGATTACAGAAGATGGGTTCATAAGGACATTTTCATAGTCTCAGAAGCAGTATACAAAGGAAAACTGTTTCATACTGGTAGTACAGTATGAACCTATGCAAGCTCCATCAACAGCCATTATGAACTCAGAAAGACCTCAATTCTTTAATACTATAAAATACTAAGAGAAAAAAAAATCTGGCCAGGATACCAAGATTTTCTCTCTCTTCCCAAAGGGTAAGATAAGACCTTTATTTATTTATTGACAAGTGCAGAGGGTTGATAAAAGGATCCCTGGTTTAGTGTCAGCCAAGAGAGGGGTAATAATTATGGCTGTGCGAAGCTTCAGTCGCCGATTCGATTCGGTGGAGATTCGGCGCGATTCAGATTCAGAGATTCGGCCGCTGAATCAAATCAGAGAACCCTTTAATCTCTCTGAATTGAATTGGAACCCTCCGAATTGATTCGGAAAGATTCAGCGATTCAGACATAGACACAGCTTTAAATGTTTTTTCTACATACCTCAGGGTACCAGGAGACTCGTGAATGCTGCAATGCTGGAGCAGATGGAGCGCCCCACAGAACTGCAGGGGGCTCCCCACTGCACTTGGCAGCAAACCCGTAAGTGAACCAGAAGCATTTCTGGTCCACTTCTGGGTCTACCGGGAAGCACGTGGGGGACCCCCACCATGACCCTCTGGCTCAGTGACTGGTGCCTCCTGGGTCTGGGGTGGCACCCATGGTCCCCCCACAGCCTATTGCCACATTGAGGAGGAGCAAGGGGGGGGAAGGGGGGCCTGTGTGCTCCCCACAGGACCCGGAAGTGGACCAGAAGTACTCCAGAGGGCCCCCCCGCACTTCATCTGCCCCAGCATTGTAGCATTCACGAGCCACGCTGGTACCTCGAGGTACGTAGAAAAAACATTTAAAGCTATGTTTGTGTCCGAATTGCTAATTCTCCGAATCAGCACTGAATCTTCAGATCTGGATTTGCCTGAATCGAATCAGGGACAGCGATCCAAATCAACTAATCGAATCACTGTCCCTGATTTGGCCTGAATCCGAATCCAATAGGATCTGCTTTGCACACCCCTAGTAATAATACATACGATGAAGATTATAAATACTTCTAGGTAACATGGGATACCAACAGTACATTTTAAAATACATACAGTGATGTGCTAGAATAATTACAGTTATGACAGAAAAGGTTATTACAATTGCATTTATCATTTCTTTAGAGTCATCTTTTGGGCAGATGCTTCTTTTAAATCCAAACTTTTTGCAGATAATAAGATTTTGCTTGACTTCCCCCACACTTCTCAGCATGGCCATCAGGGCCTCATATGCTGAAAGAAAGTCACTTTGGGGGCACAGGCTTTGGTGATGTAAGTGCCCACATGTAACAGGGTTTGGGTTAGTTTACCATTTACATGAGACTTCCAAGAAACACATGGGTGCAATCTGATATATTTTATTAGACCAACTGAATAGTTAGAGAAATATATCTTAGCAAGCTTTTGGGTTTAAAAACCCTTTGTCAGGCTGAGGAAGCATATGCAGTTGGTGTGTGTGGTCTTCCTGGGTGGAATGAACAGTAAAGAAGCCAGAAGCTGGTATGCAGGCAAAAAAGCCAGCCAGTGAAAATGTAAATTGAGCTATCAGGGGGTGAGAGACAGGCTGGGGGGGGGGGGATGGAGCAGGGAAAAGTGGAGAGGTACCCAGGGAGTCAGATGTCAGGCAGGTTACAGTGTGTTATATATCCAATGTCTATATTGAGTCCATGGGGTTTTGTATCTAGGAGGTGGATGAAGTGAAGTATGTTGTTTCTATATCCCTTCCCCAGAGCACTATCATTGGAAGGGAACTCGGAGAAAGATCACAGTCACTGGTTAGCTACAGATGTCAGTCTTTCCCCCCCACTCCTCCTCCCTCTTCTTAGTTCCTGTTTCCCTGCAAGACTGCCTTCTGAATCACCAAATCTTTCTCTGAATCTTTTCTGAATCGATTCGGATGCTCTGAATCAATTCAGAAGTTTTTATGGGTCTCTCAATTCAGATTCGATGATTCAGCCTCCAAAATTGGGTCAAATCTTCTCTGAATCAAATCAGCAACCGAAGCTTTGCACACCCCTACAGAACATTATTGCACTGCTTCTGAAACTGCCTAAGGGAACAGCCTCATAACTCTCCAAACTGTCACCTCCAATGACTCTTAATCAGGGCTGTCAAGGTATGGCCTCCAGAGATCCTAGAGGGACTGGGAATTTGGGGATGAAGACCACTGCTGAATGGGTCCCACTGCTGTAGCCCTACTGGGGGCACGTGTTGGCAGTCAAGAGTCAAACGACAGGTGCATTAATCCCTGTGGCTCAAGAACTTGCAGCAGTTAATGCTGCTGCTGCTTGCCCTGCTGCCAGAGGTGGATCTGGATCCATCCTGTAAGGAGCCCCATGGTCTGCATCTGCCCTGGGTGGGCCAAAGGAGTTTGACACCCTTGCTCTAAACCATATTCTCTAATGCTACAGGGAGGGAATCAAAGGGTGAAAGGACTATGCCTTTCACTGTGCACACTCCAAGATTATGGTATAATTATGTTTTCAAGTAACACTGTGAAGGTGAAGTCAAGATTCTCCCCCCTCCTGCCACTTCTTCCTACTCAACTACAAGAGAGGAAACTTCTCAGCTCCTTAGAGCCTGCCTCCTCTCCACACACTGTATGTAGCAGTATGGTGTACCAATACAAGAGAATCAGACAGCACCTGCTATCAAGGACAGGCAACAATTGAGCTGTGTACAAATAATGCTCAGCATAGCTTTTAGCAGACAATATGTAGCAATAGGAGGTGTGGTTGTACAACTGTAACAGCCTGGGATCCTAATTGCTTTGGTTCATTAAAGGTCCTATAAGACTTTTTGTAATAACGGCAGATTTCTTTGGCAAATTCTAACTGATGAAATTACATACCACCCTCCTGGAATAAAAGGGATGCTTTACTTTATTATCCTGTTCTGTTCTGTGATGTTAAACAGCTGCTGTATTTTACCTCCTCAGTTGCTGCAATGACCCTATATAAAGTCTGCACACCTGTTTAACTTCACTAAAACACTTTAGGAGTTTATGGGTTCAGAAATGATTTTATAGTTATAAGTAATTTTAATACTTGATCCAGGAACTGTAAGCTGCCAACAATAATTTAACTTCAAAATATTATATGTTTATTAAAATACAAAGAGCTTTTAAAAGTTGTGTAAAAAAGGGGGAACTCTGTATTGATACATAATAAATCCCTTATAAAAACAGGGGGTTACACGATTCAACAGTTTAGCTTGCAATGGGCTTAAACATGTCAGATAACATTTTAAATATAAACACATGCTCTTACTGTTGCTGTCCATTACTCTTT